GTGTGTCAAGTCCCTCTGCTCCTGCTTCAGCAGCAATCCTGGGACTATAAAGGGGACATGTTCCAACCCCTGCTCCAGCCAGGTTCATGCCTGGCCTTGAGTCCCTTCTTGTCCTCCTGGAGTATCTAGGGCTGCAAGTCCTCATGGAGGGTCCTGCCCACATCCCTTTGTTCCAGGATCCCTTAGGAGCAGAAGGAGCTGAGGGGTCTAGCTCTAGCACCTCTCCCCCAGTAGCTCAATCAAAGGGACTTGGGGGAGAGAGAGACTCCTGGCCCAGGGGAGATTGGGAGCTGACAGCAGAATGCTGATGGAGCCCCCTTTCCTTCCTTTCCAGTAGAACTCAGTTCTCCAAACTAGGGAGGTTGGTGCCTTAGCTCCAACTGTTAATCAGTGACCCAGCCAAGGACATTGGCCAGCCGGCCAGGAAGGGGATTTACCAGCTCTACAAACTGCTGCTACACCAGAAGTCAGGAAACTAAGCTGGGAAATGGGACCCAACAGAAAAATGACACTGACAGAAGTCAGGAAATGGGATCCCTGAAGGAATTATCTGCCTCCTATCTGAGACTGTCCCCCATTGGGTAATGGGACTCCTGTTGAAACTCACCAAATCCTCTGAGATTGGTCCCAGCTGGAGAATGAGTCTGTCTCTTTCCTTCTTTTCCTTATTCCATTTAGGATCAATCCCCTTCCCCAGGCACCAAGAGATACTCCACCCACCATACAGAGTCCAGCTATACTGTGAGGCCAGAGATGCAGCCCAATGGGAATGGAAGAATACAGCCAGAGAAATCTGACAAAATGACGTTGCCAAGGAACAGCTGTCATAGGAAGATGGAGGGAATCAAGGCAGGAGCTCCTCCTACAATGGGATGGTGGGGGGTTGGCACTGGAGATTACTAAAGAGGACAAGTCCATCCCACGGTGCCAGTTGTCATTAATCCTCCCTGTTTCCTGGGACTGTACAAGTCTTTGACATGCCCTTGTTCTCTTGACACAAGAGGACATCATGGCAATGGTGATGTGCCAGCTCCATTCCATCTGATTCTGTCACCAGGTGCCCGAGGTTCTGCAGGGGCTGCACCTTTTAGGGCTGTAGAACCTTACTCCTTGCACAAGGCATAAGGGATCGGTCAGCAAAGGCTTTCCTTGCTGACGAATCCCTGTCTTGACTGCCACTTCGTGCTGACATACAGCTAAGCCGGCACAACACGGCAGCCATTTTTATTCTAATGAAGTAGGGAATATTTAAATCCCCACTTCATTGACTATGTTGGTATGCAGGGCCAGATTAAGGGGGGGGGCTAGCCAGGCAGCTGCCCGGGGCGCCAACCTATGGGGGGGCGCCTGATGGCAGCTGTAAGGGGCGCTGCGCGCCCGGCCGCACAATACCCCTTAGAGCTGCAATCAGGTGCCACATGCCCAGGGTCGGGGGCCATGCAAAGCCCCTTAGGCGCCACACGCCCAGGGCTGGGGGCCACACAGCGCCCCTTAGAGCTGCAATCAGGTGCCACATGCCCAGGGTCGGGGGCCATGCAAAGCCCCTTAGGCGCCACACGCCCAGGGCTGGGGGCCACACAGCGCCCCTTAGAGCTGCAATCCAGCGCTGTGCGCCCGATTGCAGCTGTAAGGTGCGCAGCGCGCCAGGGGGTGGGGCTGTGCATGTGTCATGCACCCGCTGCCCGGGGCACAGGAATGGCTCGAGCCGGCCCTGTCGATATTTCTACTTTACATGCCTCAGTTGGCAGAGGCATGAAGTCTAGACATATCCCTAGAGACATATCCAGGGACAGCCTCCCCAGCAAGGGGCAAAGAGGCCAATAGTAGACCAAACCTCTGATGGCCTCACAACAGGGTGGATTTTCAGATTCCTGGGCATGAGGAGTGGACTCACAGAGCCACTAAGCTGAGCGAGCCAGAGCCAAATCCTCCTCCTGTGTGGTCAGGAGATGCACCTTCCCACTGATCCACCCCCTCACCGAGTCAGATTGCTCTGAAAGGGGAGAGACAACAGAGAACAGAGACTTACTCGGGTAGATGCTGAAGATGGGTGCAGCAGGAGTCCTGACTGCAGAAGAGATTCTGCTAGCAAACGTGCCCCGGGCCTGAGAGCAGGGGCCAACTTTTGGCTACTACTACAGACCCTTTTGCTCTAACACAGGGGTGCACAAAAAGGCCTTCGCAGGCTGGATCTGGCCTGCCAAACAGGTTGATCCGGCCCACGGAGGCCCTGCTGCTCCCCCACCCCCTGGTCAATTAGGGCCCGGGGGCAGGGGAGCATGCAAAACTTCCTCCCGCCCTGTGAGAAGCATGCAGTGCTTTGAAGTGCTGCGTGCTGCTCGCAGGGCGGGAGGAGACACCATGCTCTCCCCCGCTCCCAGTCCCTGATTGGCCTGGGGCATCCTCCGCTCGCCCCCCCCCCGCCCTGCAAGGAGCGCATGGCACTTCAAAGTGCTGTATGCTTGCGCAGGGTGGGAGCAGGGCGAGGGGAGCTTCGCATTGCTCTCCTAACCCCAGGCCAACTAGGGTTTGGGGGCGGGGGAGCATGTAATGTCTCCTCCCGCCCTGCGAGCAGCGCGTGGCACTTTGAAGTGCCGTGTGCTCCTCGCAGGACGGGGGTAGGAGGGGAGGAGGCTTTGCATGCTCCCTCCTCCCCCAGGCCAATCAGGGACTGGGGGCGGGGGCGCTGCACTAAGTTTCCTTCACCCTGTCCCAGCCCTGCGAGGAGAGCTCAGCACTTGAAAGTGCCACACCTTCTTCACAGGGTGGGAGGAGGCTTCCCCCACCCCCAGGCCAATCAGGGCCTGGGGCTGAGGGAGTGTGTGAAGCCTCTTCCCGCCCTACCAGGGGCCTGGGTGCCTAGTGGGAAGGGGGGGCAAAGGGACTCCCCCACCCCCACACCAATTATGGTCTGGAGGTGGGGAAGCCCAGAAGCATTCTGGCCCCGCCCCTTCTGAGCCGCCAGGGGCGGCCCGTGAGCCTAGGCGAGCTAGGCAGCTGCCTAGGGCGCCGCTGGCCCGGGCGCCCAATGATGACATCACAGCCATTGACCGCTCCTCGGGCCACTCCTGACCCCTGCTCTAACATCTAGAGCAGGGATGGAGAACCTAAGTCCTGGGGGCCAGATACAGCCCCCTAACTTGCCTGATTCCGGCCCCCAAGGCTCAGGGTCCCCCCTCCAGCATTGGGGAGCCTGCGCTGCTGCTCCAGTCTCACCGCTTCTCACTTGTGTGTTACCCCGACAGATTTTTCTGCAGGCCTAAAAAAGGTTCCCCTCCCCTGATCTAGAGGATCCTGGGTGAGGCATGTGGCCATATGCGCAGTGGAGAGGAAGGGCCCAGGCTCCCACACTAACCACCCATTTCTTGGAGGGACCCAGACCCCTTTTTCCTCCACTGGGGAGGAGGAGAGGGTAGAGACACAATAAGCCCAGAGCCATTCACAGGAACCGGGGGGGCTGCAGAGCCTTACTTTTGAGGGGGTGTTGGACTGTACATTTTATTGTACTCTGTTAATCTAGAACTCAAGTGGTGAATCGGCTGGAAGGCCAATGCCTCAGGTCCCCATCACTCAGCATGATTGATCCCATGCCTCCTCTTACCTCCATTGGAGCTGCTATATGGGAAGGCAGCCCCACAGGATCCTAGATCTCCTCCACCACGCATGGGAGGAACCAGGCCCAGGAACAATCAACATGGTAGAATCCATGTTCTGTCCGAGAGAAGGCTTGGAGCCCCTGCAGGCTTTGTTGCGAGAGAACGTGCTGTAACCTCAGAACTAGGAACAGGCTGACAACAATGGACCCAAATGTGAAAATTTAAACCCAGTGAGTTCGCTGTTGCCGCCAACCTTGAAGTCAAAGCTGCTGGCCAAGTGGTTATAAATAGGGCAAAGGTAATTGATGATGAAATCCGCCATCCAGGGAAGAGAAGCGAGGCAGAGGCTATATATACCACATGGACTTACTGGGTCACCTCATCATGCCTTTTTCCCCAGAACCTGAGCTTGGGCTGCCAGCGCCCTTAATCCATGATGCTGGACCAAAAAAGCAACAGAAAACACCTCAGAAGACCGCCCCTCAGTGTTCATAGCATTGCCAGAACATTCCAGCAGAGTTGACCCCCCAAGACTGTCTGAGAAGCTGAGGCAGTCCTGGGGCCAGTGATACTGGCTGCTGTTCCAGCAGCCATGGGGCCAGTCATGCTGCTTAGATGGCCCCAGACAGCTGGTCCCAGGTGCTGCCCAGGAGTAGTGGTCCAGGAGCAGCAGTGGTGTCCCACTCCTGGAAGTGCAGCAGCGGGGATCTGGCACAAGGATGTTGTGCAAAAAAGGGTTTTTGTGCAAAAAGAAAACATCCACACTGCTTGTTTTTGCGCAAAAACCTCTTGGGCAAAAACGGACTGGAAGAGACTATGCAAATGAAGCACGAGAAAATGCTAATCTAAGCTTCATTTGCATTGCTTCTTCTGGCAAAAGCCTTAGTGTAGACAAAGCCGAAGAGATGAAACAACAGCTCAGCTGTACATACAGGGAACAGTGTAGCTACAGTGCTTCTAGTCAGCGGTAATACCTTTCTAAACAAAAACACATGTGGCTACGTCTACACTGGCATGATTTTCCGGAAATGCTTTTAACGGAAAAGTTTTCCGTTAAAAGCATTTTCGGAAAAGCGCATCTAGATTGGCAGGACACTTTTCTGGAAAAGCACTTTTTCCGGAAAAGCATCCGTGGCCAATCTAGACGCACTTTTCCGCAAAAAAGCCCCAATTGTCATTTTCGCGATCGAGGCTTTTTTGCGGAAAACACTACTGTGCTGTCTACACTGGCCCTTTTCCGGAACAGTTTTCCAGAAAAAGACATTTGCCCGAATGGGAGCAGCATAGTTTTTCCGGAAAAGCACTGATGATTTTACATTAGATCGTCAGTGCTTTTCCGGAAATTCAAGCGGCCCATGTAGACAGCTGGCAAGTTTTTCCAGAAAAGCGGCTGATTTTCCGGAATAACTTGCCAGTGTAGACACAGCCATGTATGTTTATTGCAGTTCCTGGGTAGCTAAAAGCTTTTCCTTTTCACCAACAGATGTTGGTCCAATAAAATACATTATTTCACCATCTTGTGTCTCATATATCTTTATGAAATATGCTTCGTTTATATGTGTCTGTCTATCTTCCCACTGTATAGAAGCATAATCTTCTACTGGATATGATCTCAGACCTGCTCAAATGGGTTTGAGCCTTTTCCTATAACTTTAATTAAAAGCTTCAGAGGGGTAGACGAGTTAGTCTGCAACTGGAAAAACAGTAGATGGTATCATGAGCTTTCATGGACACAACCTACTTCATCTGTTTAAGTTATACCTTAATTAACTACAGCAGTGACTTGTCCACAATGTGTGATCATGTTGCCCTCTAGAGGCTTCAGCTAGAGACTGCAGATAAGCTATAAATGACAGAGTTGGAAATAACTATAGCCTTTTGTGAATACAAAATGTGTATCCGCAGCCACAAAAATGAATCATGGCTAGATTTGCAGGGTTCTAGATACAAATCTGGTTTTTAAACTGGCTCCCCTCATGGACTAGCTCCCTCCTGGTACCTTGAGTTGCTGCCTCTGTGTCAGAGGCAGCAGCATGGAGTGGCAGGGCACTCTTCAGGAGTGGGGCCGGCATGCACAGGCTGCCAGCCCCACCCCGGGGGCTACAGAATAGTCAAATAACTGATAAGAATTCATGAGGTTAATTGACTATTCAATTAACCAATATTTAACATCCCTACTCTAGAAATAATAGCTTATAGCCATATTCTATTCCATGTTGGAATATTAATAATTGTCATGGTCCACACCTCCCCTCAGATCTCTGGGCGTCATCAATCAGGGGTTGAGGCGGCTGTCTCCGCCTCCACTCAATTCCGCAACACTTCCCTTCACCGTGTCCCAATTTATGACGTCTCTTAGTCCCTTCTTGCCCCGGGCTTCTAGCATTCCTTATGTCCAGGAATACCCAGCGCCTGCCCAACCCGGGCCTCATTTGCCTAGGCAGTGGACGGAGGGGAGAGGGAGCTGGGCCCGCCCTCACTCCAGGTCCTGACCCAGGACCCTACGGGCAGGGACACGATTCCCTGCCTGGTTGGTGGGGCTGCGACTGTAACTCACCAACTCTCAAGTGACCTCCTGGCTCCGATGCTCAGTCCTGGGTCACTTCCTCTCCTCCGCCATGTCCTGTCTCTGCGTCTGCCCCTCCGGCTGTCAGGAGTCACCTCTGGCGAAGCCGGCTCCTCTGTCCGGTGCTGCGGCCCCTCCGCCGAGCTGCTGCGCGTTCCGGGCTCCAGACTCTTTCTGGCTCCCCCTTCCACGCTTTTGACTTCCACCTCCCTGGCTTCCTTCTCCGCCTCTCTGGCTTCCTCCTCCCACCTCTGGGGCCTCTCGTGGCTCACTTTATACCCCGCCCCGCCGGCCCCCGGCGCTGGCCATGATGTCATCCCGTGCCTCGGGCCGCCTCCGCAGAGCGGCCCCGGAGCAGGCAGCACTGGTCTGGTGCTCGGCTACAGCCTCCCCACATAGAGCCGCCTCGGGCCTGGCCGTAGTGTGGGGCTCGGGGACCGCGGTGGAGGCTCCACAGCCCCGTCACAATAATACCTGAAAATTATTCATATGGGAAACTAGTAAAGACTATTTAACCATAAATTCCTTTATTCAATCCAAAGAGCAAATGGTACTTTTACAATTGCTCTAAACATGCCTAAAAACCTCCAATAATAAGCAATTTACTACATCCAAACAGTAACAAAACATTTATAAGCATTTGCTAAAGATAATTAAAAACGGGCTATGCCCAGGGTGATCCGGGCAGATATTAGCAATGAACTCTTTAAACGTTTACTTTTTATTTCCTTTAACAAACAAGTGATGTCATTATCAATTACTGACTTCACCTAAAAAGCAATTTGAGGCATTTCACTATTTATGGTCTTAATGCAGCCAAAATCTGCAACCTTCTTTCTTCCCCAGAGCCTTTTCTCTCCCCCCATTTTTGCTACCCCTCTCTACTCAGCTTTCCAGTTGCACCCAGGCCCACATAGGCTGTGTCTAGACTGGCCAGTTTTTCCAGAAAATCAGCCGCTTTTCCGGAAAAACTTGCCAGCTGTCTACAATGGCCGATTGAATTTCCGCAAAAACTTTTGCGCAAAAGGGCCAGTGTAGACAGCTCAGCTTTGTTTTCCGCAAAAAAGCCCCACTCGCGAAAATAGCAATCGGGGCTTTTTTATGGAAAAGCGCGTCTAGATTGGCACGGACGCTTTTCCACAAAAAGTGCTTTTGCGGAAAAGCATCCGTGCCAATCTAGACGCTCTTTTCCGAAAATGCTTTTAACGGAAAACTTTTCCGTTAAAAGCATTTCCGGAAAATCATGCCAGTCTAGACGTAGCCATAGAGTTTAACAATGGTATGGGGTGGAAAGGGCCATGTTGACTTATTTTAAGACAAATTATTTTATTTTATTTAAAACCATCTACACTCCACTGGTCAGAAGCCTTCTTTTTAGAACCTTCCCCTTATATCATCAGTTGTTCTTTCAATCAGATAGACTCCGTACTTCAGTCTTTCTGGACTTGAAACACATTATTTTCAAGACTTTCCTTCTATAGGTTGAACCTTTCTAGTCCAGAACTCTCTGATCCAGAAACATCCATTGTTCAGAATGATATTAGTTAGCCAGATGCCCACTTTTCATGGGTGTGGCCAAATTTCCCGCAGTACCATAAAGTTTGTTTACAGCTGCCAGTCCTGGCTCTCAAGTTCAGTGCTGTTATTTAGCTCTGATTTACCCCTAAATGTCTTCTAAGAATCAAGTAAAGAGTGGAAGTGTTGGTAATGCTACTAGACAGTATTGACCTCCCTTGGTCCAGAAAATTCTCTCATTCGGAACCAGTCAGGTCCCAAGGGTGCCAGACTAGAGAAGTTCAATCTATACTTGCTAATCAGGGCCCTTTTTTGTCTTTTTACAAAACATATATACAGGCAGTCCCCGGGTTACGTACAAGATAGGGACTGTAGGTTTGTTCTTAAGTTGAATTTGTATGTAAGTCGGAACTGGTACATATTGTAGGGGAAACTCTAGCCAAACATTTCTCCAGAGCTCAGTTTTATTCTCCCACACCTCACTTCCCGCAGTCCTTTATTCTCAAGCTGAGGTGTCTGCTGAGAAAAGCCGCTCCACGTCTCCCTGGTCTGCTGGGAGGGGTGCTAGCTTTGCGTCTCCCTGGTCTGCTGGGGGGAGCGCTAGCTTCGCGTCTCCCTGGTCTGCTGGGGGGAGCGCTAGCTTCGCGTCTCCCTGGTCACACTAATTCTTTAACTTCATATTTATCTTACACTCTGATATTGTTCCCATGTGGACTGTTTTGCTATACCATTGCTGTACCACTGGGGTTATCTCATTTGACCACCCTCATAACACAGATCATAAGACTTATTAAAATTAATCCTTGTTTAATCTAGAGTATATCTATTTTAAACTATCCAGTCTTGATTTTAATGTCCAGTAATGAAGAATCTGTCAGGTCCCTTGGTAAATTGTTCCAATGGTCACTGCGAAATATTTGCACTTTACTTCTAGTCTGAGGGTACGTCTACACTTGCACTCTAGTTTGAACTAAGAATGCAAATGTAGGCATTCGAAATGGTAAATGAAGCCAGGATTGAAATATCCCGTGCTTAGTTAGCATAATCTCGGCCGCACGCTGTTTCGAAACCTAGCTGTTTCTAAAGTGAAAAATCCCCTTGATTTGAACAAATATTACTCCTCAAAATATGAAAATATAAATGTCTGGTATTTTCTAAATAAGATGTAATGTAGATTGTGATGTAATATCAAGTGTGTCTGGTATTTTTGTTGAAACCATCTGGCAATCCTAGAGGACAGGACCTTCAACTGCTGATGGGGACCACCCCCCAACAACTCAAGTGTCATATCCCCCTCCGGAAAAGATCCTCCGGAAAAGGGCGCTTTTTCCGGAGGATCGGGGCCAGTGTAGACGCTCTTTTCCGGCTTTTCTAAAAGCCGGAAAAAAGCGGCGGACATTTTTATTTAAATGCCGCGGGGGATATTTAAATCCCCTGCGGATTTCCCTATTACGATCTCTGAAATTACCATGCCCCTTCCGGAAAAGGGGCCAATGTAGACGTAGACGTAGTGTAGACCTGATCTACATGAGCCAGATTGTGCTGCATTTAGCGACCTGACCACTTCATTATTTACCACTCCCACAATTTTTGTGTCATCTGCAAACTTTATGACTAATGATTTTGTGTTCTCTTGCAGATCATTGATAAAAATGTCAACTAATATAAGATCAGGAACCTATCCCTGCAGCACTCCACTAGAAACAGTCCCGTTTAATGATGATTCCCCCCTTTACAATTACATTTTAAGACACGTTAATTAGCTAGTAATTAATCCATGTTGATTTCGTTTCAATCTTATTTCTTACTCAAAATATCATACAGTACCAAGTTAAACGCCATACAAACATTTAATTATATTACAGCAACACTATTACCTTTATCAGCCAAGTTTGTAGTCTTATCAAAACAAGATATGAAGTTAGTTTGACAAGATCTTGTTTTCATAGATCCAGACTGTTTGGCATTAATTATATTAATCTCCTTTAATTCTTAAGTTCTATGTCAACCATCATTAATGATTCAGAGAGCTCATTGAGCAAGCTCTTTTAAAACTCCTGGCTGATTGCAAAGTATCTACCATTAGTAGCTGTTGATTAATCATCTCTTAAGCTACTGTTGGCATGAAAAGCATTTCTTCACCACATAGGAATAATGTTATTTACTCCTTGGCTGCATCTAGACTGGCAAGATTTTGCGCAAAATCCTGCCGCTTGTCTACATTGGCCGCAAGTATTTGTGCAAGAACACTGACCTTGTACTGTACAAAATCAGTGCTTCTTGCACAAATACTCTGATGCTCCCACTCAGGGATAAGTCCTCTTGCGCAAGTATCCTTGCACAAGAGGGCCAGTATAGACAGCAAGTTAATTTCTTGTGCAAGAAAGCCCAATGGCTAAAATGGCCATCGGAGCTTTCTTACGCAAGAGAGCGTCTACACTGGCATGGATGCTTTTGCGCAAAATATGTGCTTTGCACAAAAACATCCGTGCCAGTGTAAACGCTCTCTTGCACAAATACTTTTAACAGAAAAATTTTTCCGTTAAAAGTATTTGAGCAAAATCATGCCAGTCTAGATGCAGCCCTTGTGTCACCACAGCAGGTAAACAGCATGGCTGTGTCTAGACTGGCCACTTTTTCTGGAAAAGCAGCTGCTTTTCCAGAAAAACTTGCCAGCTGTCTACACTGGCTGCTTGAATTTCCACAAAAGTACTGATGATCTCATACTATGCTGCTCCTGTTCGGTCTTTTTCCGAAAAACTTTTGCGCAAAAGGGCCAGTGTAGACAGCAGAGATTTGTTTTCCGCAAAAAAGCCCCGATCGCGAAAATGGCGATCAGGGCTTTTTTGCGGAAAAGCACGTCTAGATTGGCCACAGACGCTTTTCCGCAAAAAATGCTTTTGCGGAAAAGCTCTAGACGTAGCCCATTTGACCAGGATCCCATTGTGCCATGTGCTAAAAGTCACAGAACAAAAAGATGGTCCCTGCCCCCAAAGAGAGTGTAAGGGCAGTAATACACCAGCTGGCTTTTCCCCAACTTCAGAACAAAAGTATTTATTGAGCAATTTTTGCCCTTCATACATTATCGTTGGCAATTCTCTCATAACTGACCAATGTGTTAGGTTTCCCCACGAATTCGTCTTGCATCGAAGTTCAGTCCGGGGAAAAGGCAAAGGGAACTGAAGGACTTTTAGCTGCCAGTCAAATTCTCCCTCACCGCCCACTCCCCCGC